TCAGGAACTGTGCGAACACCCTTCCTCCGGACGATTTTTTAAAATCTTTAATCAGTTTCACAAGAACTTGATATTCTAAACGCTGTTTGAAGGGTCTTTATCGATCAGGATATCAAACCCGCTCGTTCCGTCGCGCCTTTTGGTTTAATCTAGAGTGCTCGTGGGTAATGGGAAGGAAGAAATGTGTTTTCAGTACGATGCATCTTGGAGGGCTCTGCGCTTACCGATCGTTTCGCGGATTTGCTCGTCCCGTTCTGCCTTGGGGCTCACTCTCGAACCCCAGCAGCATCCGCACCTCGGCTAGTTGTATAAACAGAAAAATCTTACCGACAAAGATAGGGAAGAGCGCAGAACTTCGAATCAGCACGTTCGAGCCTCAGGATGCGCAACATCCCGGGGTCTAGTATAACTAGCTGATGATGCCATTTCTATCTCTCCTGTCTGTGTCGGTAATGTTCTGTTAGTACGGTGAATCACTAACAATTCTTGTGAGGTATTAGTGACGAAGACTGAGCTGACCTTTTTATGGCATACTAGTTTTCGTCAGCCAGTCATACTCAGACTCACATCCGAGGTAATCCAGACCCGAGATCGTGTATGGCTTGCCGCCGACAATTAGTAAGTCAGAACTGGATACCGTTTTCCTGCATATATTTGACCTGTGAATTTTTTCAGACGGACAGTTGTTAATCTCGGCTTGTGCAAATTAATCCTAGGCGTAAGACAGGAAATGCCTGAATTTTTGAACTTCAACTCCCGATCTCCCTCACTAAAAAGAGCGTGGCTCAAGCTCGTCCTATCCGTTACCGCAGATTGTCACGCTTAGTGGAATACCAGCCTCGACAGCTTGAAGTCCAGTCAGCCGTACCAACTCCTAACAAGCAATTATTTGTCAGATGTTCAGTTTAGGAATCCTTTGGTTTCTTTAGCGTCGATATATAAACCAATGGATGCAGCTGTCAATACAGGCGAAAGTGCGAGTCCCAGGAAGTAATTAAGAAGAAGACGACTCGGTTGCTGGGGCGATACTTCTATTCGCCTGACGTTTCGAGATCCGTCGCTGATTCGTCAAAAGTTACCAAAATTCATAGCAGCAAGCTGCGACCAGAACGAAAGTCGGACTGCTTTATTAAACAGTATTAGGGATCAGAACTCACGCAGTGGAGTGGGGCGATAGCTGGTCGTGAGCAAAGCGAGATGTCTTGGTGCATTGTAAAGCTAGCTCCCTTTCCCACTACATGCGCACACGATTAACGACAAAAAACGCTGCACTCAAGCCGGCAAAGCAGACGGTTGTCAGTTCTCAGTAGCCTCGATTAAGTTCAAGACTGTGGTGCAGTGTGAATACTTGTTTGGCGGATCTTCACCCAGTTCGAAAGGAGGCTAGATTTGGTTTCATTTTTGAACTACGTATGCATTGCCACCTCCTGAGAATGACTACAGCAGCAATCTTCCCGGTGCTGTCAGTGAAGCTTAGGCCGTTCATGCTTTATCGCAATTCCTTTCATCTCTATTCTCGGAAAGTAGCACAAAATTGACCGAACCCAGGCATCAAAAGAGATCTCCCTCCCTCCCCCTCCTCCCTTCCCCATCTCTTTCTTGCTTGCTCGGGCCAGAGTGTCAATGTGGGCATATGGTTTTATTCTTCGGCTCAACGCTGTCCACATCAAAGCGCGGTCATCACGGCTTGCAGAGTTCCGTAGGGCATTCGACATGCCTGACCTCAGCTCTCTCTCTCTCGCTCCACGCCCTGTTAACACTGCCGGTCTGCGACTGCCCTGTTATTCTTCTGACCCCAATTAGCCTTCATCTTATGCCCATCAATCCTGGGCGCGCGCGCCGTGTAGAAGGCTA